CTCAGAGGAGCACTTGCCAAGCATGCATGAGTTCCTCCTTTCAACCCCCAGCATTCAGGCTGGTGGCAGTGTAGTTTATGTGGGCTGCCATGGTGCAAGGTTATGTAAAGCCAGCTGGCAGATTCAGCTTTCATCTTCTGAAAGCTAGAACCTGAAAATCAGCCTAGGGAGAAGTTTATAAACAGGTTTCAGTTCACACCACATTTTGATAATGCTGACTCATGAGAATCCTCACAACCACCAGCTGTGTTCAGCTGAGGCCTGCTTTTAGTAATTTAGTTGCAGGGGGCGGGGGGAGTCTTTTCATCTTTAGATAAGTACTCCATTCCAAGTGGCCAGGCCTGTCCTACCCCTGCTCTTCTAAAAGACTGGCCAATGTGTAGTCTTGGGAGACCTTTGCCTTTCCCTATAAATCCTAAAATAGTCTCCACTCCCCTTCCCTCCTCCCTCTTAAGCACTTCCTCTCTTGCCATCCCCAAGTCTCCTTGTTTCTCCCCGCCTCTTTTGCAGTTCTAGATGCCCAGACTCAAGAGAGATTTGGCAACATTAAAAGTTCCACCTGTTTAGTTCAGTAAAGGGATCCTTCTCCTCCCAGATGAAGAAGGACAGGCACAGGAGCATGTCAACTCCTGTGGGTAGCTTGGTTTTACCACACTGATCTCAGCTGGTTCTCCCCAGAACACTTAGTCCCAGGAAATATGTTCAGTCCTTTATCTTCTACAGCCCTGGATTTCTCTGAGCAGGGGTGACATACTGCCAGTCCTGCAAGACTGCATTCATGTACTCTGATTCATATACTGCAACGCGTAAAAACATGCAGTTGCCAGTGTGTTCAGCTAAAATCTAAGCTACAGATAATTGGCAGGGCCTTATACCAGCAAAACATGCCTCAGTCACATGGGTTTTTTGAGATGGAACACAGACGCAGGCTGAATAACTCAAGAACAGACTTCTCTGGCTACAGTCTCCCATGGTGCCTTCCTCAGAGAAGGCACCTCCTACTGTCCTGTTCCCATGAGACACTTGCACGTGAGTGCATGCACTCACACACACACACACACACACACACACACACACACAGAGGCAGGTGCATGCTCATTCTTTATCACTTTCTTCTTCTTGCCTCTCTTGCTGGGAGAGGATTTATGGGCACTGTAACAGCCTGTGAAACTGGTTCCCCTTTAAACATGGTTATCCCAGGACACAGGGTCTGAATCTGTTCCCTGCAATGCCTGGCAACACTTCACACAGTAGCCGGTCTTACTACTACTGAAGGGGGATTCTCTGAAACCGTTTCATTGTTGGTTTGTTTTGTTTGTGGTGCTGGGAATTGAATTCAGGGTCTTGCACTTATTGGGCAAGTGTTCCACCACTGAGCCACACCTCCAGCTCTCTGATACTGTTATCAAATGTATATTTTTTTAATATTTATTTTTTAGTTATAGTTGGACACAATATCTTTATTTTATTTATTTATTTTTATGTGGTGCTGAGGATTGAACCCAAAGCCTCACGGGTGCTAGGCAAGGGCTCTACTACTGAGCTACAACCCCAGCCCCTCAAATGTATATTTTTGTATTTGAAAACTCTTCCACCTGCTCTCTGAAAAGTTACTTCTTAGGATGGGTGAAGCAGAGCTAGAGAGAGCTCCTAAAAGAAAGGAGACAAGGCTGGAGGCATTCTTCAGTTTAAGAAAGGGCATAAGAAATGCAGAATGAAAAATAGAAAGTCATTTTATCTGGTCATGGAAAGTAGTTACAATGAGCTGTTTTAGCTTAGTGGTTAGCAGATAATTGGCAGTGGTTGGCAGATAAAGACATGACCCTGGAGTCAGAGGAGGTTGGGTTTGAACCTCAGCTCTACCTTTGGTGATTTATTTAATTTCTGTGGTCACTCAGTTTCCTTATCTATGAAATGGAGTGCAGCTTGGAGAATTGGAGAGAATAATTCTATTAACTTTACAGGGCTGTTGTGAGAATTGAATAACACATATGCTTTAGTCAGCTTTTTCCCTGCTGTGACCAGAACAGCTGTAGAGGAGGAAAAATTTATTTGAGTGTTAATGGTTTCAGAGGTCTCAGTCCCTAGAAAGTCAGGACCATTCTTGGGGCTCAAAGTGAGGCAGAACATCATTGCAGAAGAGTGGGGTGGAGGGAAGCAGCTCACATGATGATCCAAAAGTAAAGAGAGATTCTTGCCAGATACAAAATATATGTTCCAAAGACATGCCCCCAATGACCCACCTCCTCCAACCACACCCTCCCTGCCTTCAGGTACTGGTAACCCAATTAATCCCATCAGGATTAAATCCCAATATTTCTCCTCTAAACCTTCTTGCATTATCTCACACATGAGCTTTTGGGGGACACATAACATCAAAACCATAACAACATATAAGGCATCCAGCAGGTGTCCCACACATAGTAAATGGTCAATATATATTGATGATGATGATTAAGATGATAGCGGAGAAGATGACGATTGCATCAGGGATCTCCAAGACCATCCTCAGAGTCAATAATTTAGCAGGGGCTGGGGATGTGGCTCAAGCGGTAGCGTGCTCGCCTGGCATGCGTGCGACCCGGGTTCGATCCTCAGCACCACATACCAACAAAGATGTTGTGTCCGCCGAGAACTGAAAAATAAATATTGGAAATTCTCTCTCTCTCTCTCTCTCTCTCTCTCTCTCTCTCTCTCTCTCTCTCTCTCTTCTCTCACTCTCTCTAAAAAAAAAAAAAAAAAGAAAAAAAAATAATTTAGCAGAATGACACACAGAACTGAGAAAAGCTATTACAAGCACAGTTGTGGTTGATTACAGTGAAAGGATGCAGATTAACATTAGCCAAGGAAAAAGGTACATAAGGCAAAGTCCATCAGGAACCAGATACTAGAAGTAGAATCACACAAACAGCACTTAATTCTCCTAGCAATACTATGTGTGAAGATGTATGGAGTATTACTAACCGGGAAGCCTTGGTTTTTATTGAGAGTCAATTATATAGGCAAAGAATTGCCTGCTGGCTGAACTTGTTTGATTTCTCCAGAGGTCAAAGTGTGTGTCCCAATGCTCTAGACAAACAGAAGACATTGCTATTAGGCAGGATATTACCAAAGTCTTAGGGTTAGGTAACCAACTGCAAGGATCAAGCCTTTTTTCTTTGGAGGATGGGGGAATGTGCAAGGTTTGGACAACTCAGGCCTCCAGACTTAATCTAATACTGCATCATGATGATGATGTTGATGAATCCTGGACTGAGGCAACTAGCAATGTTAGTAGACCGTGACACCCATGAAACTGGGCCCAGGACTTATTTTAGAAGCTGACCTTTAACTAAAACTGGAATTGGTCTTGACATTCAAAGTGAATGTACTACTATAATTGTAGCTATCAAGAGTCAACCAGCAGGGCCGGGGTTGTAACTCAGTGGTAGAGCACTTGCCTAGCATGTGTGTGAGGCACTGAGTTTAATCCTCATCACCACATAAAAACAAATTAATAAAATAAAGATTTCTTTTTTTAAAAAAAAAAGTCAACCAAGGTAGAAAAGGAGAGTAGAAGAAGATAGCACCAAGCAAAAGATGGTGGTAAAGAAGGGAGGGAGCTCACCAAAGATCAATGCAATGCAATAAGTCCCAGGGCTTCAATTTTGGAGACCAAGAAAGAAAGGTATGTCCTCACCCAAAGGTCTAAGGCATAGGTGGGACTGAAGAAGGGAGGGGTGGCATGAGGATGAGATTGATTTAAGCCCAGAACAGAAAGGTACCCCAAGAGTCCACATCTGGTGAAAAGAATAGGAAGTGGGTTTAGAAGATTAAAAAGTCCCTTTCCTTAGCAGAATCTACCTGATCTGAATCAACCTTAGACTAGACTGAGGAGCTTTGTCCAGTGTCTGACCCAGTCCAGGGAGAACAGGATATAGTTCTAAAAGAACTTAACTGTACAACTCCACAGGAGCAGGTAAGAAGAGACAAAGGGAAGGGAAACCTAGCCCTTCATTTACATTTAAATACACAGACCACAAAGTAAGAATAGAACTTGTAAATGTACCCTATAAGGCAGGATTGAGGTGAATTTATTTTGTCTTTCTTTGATTTGGTTTGCTTTTTCTTGTTTTGTTTGCAGTGCTTGGGATTCAGTGAAAGGTCCCATGTACTCACTGAATCCCATCTGCGGGATTGTTATTTTTTGTGAAATCATATGAGTAGGAGAAAAGCTTTTGGGAATCTATAACTTTCTGCCATTAGGTGGTTGGTTGGTTTTGTTTTTAACATTTTCTGGGGCTGGAGATATAGCTCAGTGCTTAGCATGTGCAAGGCCCTGGGTTTAATTCCCAAAGGCAAAAAATAAATAAAATATCCTTGTGAATAAAAGTCAACCAACCCTTTAAAGGAAAACATGACAATAGAGAAAGAAAGGAATATGTGTTTTGCTTTGGGGTCAAACCTAAAGGAAAGAATTATCAGCAGAGGAGATAGACATCAGAATCATAAGGAAGAAAGACAAACAAGTCAAATTCTTGCAGCTTGTAGCCCAGGATAGTGAAGAGGGATTGGGACTTAACTAGCCAAATACAGTGCCATGCAAATTATTTGGCTAATGATGCTGACAGCACTGTGGTAACACTGCAAAAAGAGTCTTAGCATAAGCAACACCTCTCAGCCTAGACCCTTCCCATTAAGTCCCTCCCCCCAATAATTCATAGAATATATGATTCTCTTTGGAATTCATACCTGGAAAGCAAAGAAGATAGATTACTAATGGAAGTGTCCTCTTACTGAGCAACATTAAGTGCAGCAGGGATCATAACACCAACCCATTGTCTTAAATTTTAAAAGTTATCATATGAAAGAAATGACACAGTCCCATTCCCCAGGAAGCAGGAAAATCCTGCCTCCTCCCATCAGAATTTCTCAAAGCTTAAAGATCTGATACAATTTTCTTCCTGGCAAAATATTGCAATAGTATTTGTATTAAGTATTTAATTTGCTTTCTCTCTTAGATCCCAAGAGATGACCCTAAGACATTTAAGCCTTGGTCTATCCCTATAGCATAACCCTGCTGTTATTTCCTGAAAGGTAAGATCAATAAAATGAAAGGTAATCAATCAAAGAGGAAAAATTAGCCAGTCCAGTGGTTCTCAAACTGTGTTCCATGGAACCCTAGGATTGAACAATTGTTCAAGTTAATACATTTTATCCTGTGTCTTAATCCTTTAACACTCAATATGCATGGCTTTTGAATATGAGAATGTTAGGTCAAAGTGCTATAGCCATCAATGAAGTTTTTCTTTGTGTTAGAAAACGAGAATGTGGTAGATTAGGACATTGTAAATATTCTACTCCCTGATTTGAGAGTCACTTGTAGCTTGAATTCAACATGCCAAATTGAAATCTATTGATTTTTCTGCAACTAACTAGTGCTATTTGGAAGAATCATCTGTTTATATTCATTTAATTTGACTGCTTCAGTTTTGTGCTGCTGCCTAACACAAAATTCAAAGCACTGAAGGCTGTGGAGAATGACCATAGAGACACTCTGATAAAAAAAAAAAAAAAAAAAACACATTGTCATTGTTAGAAAATTAAACTTCTGCTTTTCATCATACTTAATGGGCAACAACAGAAAAACTGAAAGCATCTGGAAGAGAGAGAACTACATCATAAATTCAGAAAAAAATAATTTTTTCATTTAAGTGTAATTTTCCAATTAGATATCTGAAATAATCCACAAGTGTTAATATATGTTTAATTATATTGTGTTTTGTCATGAGAATAACTTGCGTTACTATTTTTACCAAATCAGGCTAAATATCTGGTGAGCATTTGCTACTTTTTTTTTTTTTTTTTTTTTAAGAGAGAGTGAGAGAGGAGACAGAGAGAGAGAGAGAGAATTTTTTAATATTTATTTTTTAGTTCTCGGCGGACACAACATCTTTGTTGGTATGTGGTGCTGAGGATCGAACCCGGGCCGCACGCATGCCAGGCGAGCGCGCTACCGCTTGAGCCACATCTCCAGCCCTTGCTACTTCTTTACAATGACAAAAATCAAAATAGGCAACACTTAAAATCACATCTTAAAATTTTTTGAAAAAAAGTAATTTTAAAACTCAGGGAATCAAAGGCAGAATTATCCAACCTCTTTAATTCTCTCTATTTTTCTTTATCCTTCTAAATCCTAAAGTTAAAGTTAATATTATGACACTTCCACTCTAATTTCTATGTAAAACAAGGCACGAGCATGTATAGCACTATGCCTGACAAAGTGAACTCAGCATAGGGTAGTTACACACAGGGATGCACACATGCATGCTCACACAGACACACAGATACACAGACACACAGACACACAGACACACAGACACACACACACACACACACACACACACATTCAGGTGTGCTAAGTAGCAAACTTTAAATTTTAACAAATTAGTTAATACCAGTAAATGAATTGGGTTGTCCAGTTTTTGTGCAAACCTTAAAATATATTAGGTCCATCCTCAAAGTGCAAGATGAATTTTAGAAATAAAAATAAGACAAAAACCTCTTACCACTTTCCCATTTAGAATTTTATTACGCTGTACAATCAAAACAAAATCCAGATATGAATTGCATTCTGAGTCTGTTAACTGTCATCTTTTATCTGCAATTTCAAATTTTTTGTGTTCTCCAAGATGGCATAATTGCTCTAATATATTTGCTTTACTAGCAAGTGTTAAGCATTGACCTTATAAATTTATACCACACTAAAACTACATGTACATGTGTATGTGTCTCTCAGAACATTTTAATCCTCCACTAAAAATCTTTAAAAACTTCTGATCTCAGCCAGGTGAGGTAGCGCACACTTGTAATCCCAGCAAAGGCTGAGGGAAGAGAAGGGCAAGTTCCAGGCTAGTCTGGGCAATTTAGCGAGACCTTGTCTCAAAATGAAAATCAAAGGCCTGAGGATATAGCTCATAGGTCTGGTAGAATGCCCCCTACAACGACATCAACAAATTAAAGAAAAAAAAACAAAACAAGCTAAACCGCCCTGATCTCCCCCATCTTCTTTCATGAATGAAGACTCAGATGCCGAGGGAGATTAGGAAAATACTCAACTGTACTTCTTCATAACTGTGTAGTTTACCAATCCAATTTTCAACTACTTATTGTTGTTCTTCCCAAACATAAAAATTGAAGGATCTGTACACTTTGTTTTATAACTTTTCTTTTCTCTTTTTTTCCCTAGGTGTTACAGTTTTTCAAGTGAAAAGATGTCTTGTTTTGTTCGTTTGTTTGTTTGATGTTTTGTTAATCCTAACTAGAATCCAAACTAATACTTTTATACTGTTGAGAGAGAGAAAAATAGCACAAAATTTATAAACATTCTGATTAATTACTTTAACAAGACAAATCATTGCTTTAAAATTATTTAATTAGACTTCTCGACTTAGAAGCCACAAGACAAGGTACAAATCAAGATGAAACTAATGTTGGAATGCTATGAAATAGCCATAGCAAGCAAATTTAATGCTAATTTGTTTCTGAAAAGATGGTGTAAATATTGCCATGAAAGCTAATTTTTCTCTTCTGCATCCATCCAATTTAACTGCACTGGCCATACCGGTTAAAATCATTGAAAGATACTTCTCATCAGGGTGTGGTGGTGCACACCTGTAATCCCAACTACTCAGGATGCTGAGGTAAGAGGATTACAAGTTTAAGACCAGCCAGTGAAATTTAGCAAGACCCTGTTTCAAAATACAAAATAAAAAGGGCTGGGGATGTAGCTCAGTGATAAAGGACCCCTGGGTCCAATCCCCAGTTTAAAAAAAAACAACAACAACAACAAAAAACACTTCTTAGTAAACATGTGATGACTTTTCCTGGTGATGCATTTGATTCAGTGGCCATAGAGCATTGACACCACAAGAGTTCTTCAAGCAAGCATTTATTTTGTTTTTACCCTGGATTGGCTGTGGGTCTGTGTATGTGCATTTGACAGCAAAGGAGTGGTATTTTCCTCATGAAGATCAACTATTCCACTGGTTAACATTCCTTAGGAATTTGGAAAGGAAAAAGCAGTATGAAACATTTTTAATGCATTGTCACAAAACATTTTTGTTGTTGTTGATGAAAAATATCTGATGTGGTATCAGAGTTTCAGAAATACTGAACACTCAGTTTCCCATACGCTGAAGTGAGTAAAACAGAGTAAATGAAACATAAATTGTAACCACCTCTACACTGTTGCTCAAAACATGCAGAGGGGTTGAGAGTGTAGCTTAGTGGTAGAGTATTTGCCTACCAGGCATGAGGCCCTGAGTTTGATCGCCAGAACTGCTAATAAATAAATAAATAAATAAAATATGCAGGATCCATAAAATCTGAGTGTTAGGAGTCTTTACAGGAGGAGAGCCAGTGTGTACATTAGGCCTATTTGACCAGAAAGTCAGGGGAAAAACTGACACTCTGCTAGCTAGAATTTACATAATGAGGCTTACCCAGCTGTGGATTTCAGTGATTCCTGAAGTGGATGCAGAACCAAGAGTGATGGATGATGGATGAGAGAAGGTATGGGATGAGGCACGCAGGTTGAGCCCTGAAGAGCAGGTACTCAAGGCCTTGGACACATTTGCTTGAAGGAGCTAGCAGATGGCTGTCTGTGGGCTAATTTTGGAGAAAGTGGAACAGTAGCATAAGGGGAAAGGAGATGGGAGAAGGTGATGGGCAGGACAAAGTTATGCAAGACACATGTGTGGAAGAGCTGGGGAACTTTTCAGGAGTGGCAGGGATGAAATATATTGAGAGTAATAAAAATAAATTTATAAACTTCTTTTGAAAATAAAATCCTTACTTGTATAATCTAATAAAAATTCGAGAAATTTGCTTTGTCACTTGTCTCACTTCAAATATTGTCAATAACTTAGAAAATCAAGAGTTAAATGTTTTCTCTCATGTGGAAGCTAGGGAAAGAAGGTTGGGAGAGGGGATTAGATATCATACAGATAAAGGGAAAAATCAGTGGAGTAGAGGAAGGAGATCAAGAGGGAGGGAGGAAGGATGGGAAAGGGGAGGAAATATAGAATGGACTTAACAAAATCATGTTATTTGTATACATAAATGTAAACTAGAGGGAATTTCACTTTTATGTATATGTAGAAAGTATCAATCAAAAATAAATTAATAAAGGAGCAAAAGGAAGATCAGTAGAGGAGGGAGAATGGGGGTGGGGGAAGGTGAGTAAAAGGTTAGAGTTGGGGGGAGGGATTGAAATTAAATTTCTTGTGTATCTGATTTTGTCAAAATGAGCCCAACTAGTATATATTATTATAGTGCTCTAATAAAAAAAGATAAATAAATAATGGTAAATACACTGGGCATAGTGGCACATGCCTATAATCCCAGCTTCTGGCTGAGGCAGGAGGATCACATTTTCGAGTACAGCCTCAGAAACTTAGACCCTGTCTCAAAATAAAATAAAAGAGGACTAGGGGTATAATTCAATGGTAAAGCACCCTTAGGTTAAATCTCTAGTACTAACTGGGGATGTGGCTCAAGCGGTAGTGCGCTCGCCTGGCATGCGTGCGGCCCAGGTTTCAGCCTCAGCACCACATACAAACAAAGATGTTGTGCCTGCCGATAACTAAAAAAAAAAAAAATATTAAAATATAACTAAAAAATAAAATATTAAAATTCTCTTTCTCTTTAAAAAAAAAAAGAAGACTGATGAGCCATGTTAAGAAAAAAAAAACTCTAGTACTGCATGTGCACACACACACACAAATGATGATAAATAGAGTTTGTATTTGTTTGGTCTATTAGGATCAAGGATGGTTACTGAGCATTTATTTTCTCTGTCATGGCAAATATTACCAAGTGCTAAAAATAGAGGCATCTGTCTATAAATGATTCCTGCAAGTCAGTGCACTAAAATCTGGATGAAATATATATATATAGTTTGTGTGTGTGTATGTGTGTGTGTGTGCGCACACACACTTGAACTCAGGGACTTGTACATGCAAGGTAAGCACTCTACCAACTGAGCTACATCCCCAGTCCTTGAATGGGTATTAATAAAGTGTTGAGGTTTTTTTAAAGACACATTTGAAGTCATATTTTTGAAACTAGTTCTGTCTGTGGGTTCCATAAGTATTATTGAAAAGATGAAACTTAACTATATTTTTAAAAATAATACATTGGCAAAATTCAAACACATATGCATAGCAAACTGATTCTCATACTGCCCTGGCATGAATGCTTGTTCCCCCTGCCCCCGGCCCATTCATATATTGAAGCCCAAATCCCAAATCAAGGGTATTAAGAGTGGGCCTTCGGGAGGTGATTTTGTCATGGGGACTCTTCCCTCACAAATGGCCTTAGTACCCTTAGTACCTGGATAGCCAGCTAGCTCCTTCTACTATGTGAGGACTCAGCAAGAAGGTAACATTTATTCATCAGAAAAGAAGCCCTCACCAGAAATCCAATCTGCTGGTAGCTTAATCTTGAACTTCCCAGCCTCCAGAACTGTAAGCAATAAATTTCTGTTGTTTATAAGCATTTTTGTTGTAACCTTCCAAACCAACTAAGACACACTCCATCCCTATCCATCTAATTCTCACACATCCATCTAATTCTCACACATGCACTTTCATTAGCTACTCTTTATTTGATTTTTCCCCATCAGAAATAACTGTGCCAAGGATACCCATATAATCTGGTCAAGATCAGAGCTACTCCTAGGTGGCCCTACAAATGTATGGGACAAAATGTCCAAATGTCAGAATGTCATAGAAAGTCTAAGGCAACCAGAGAAGTACCTGGTTCCTGCCCATTATACCTCCTGCTCCGCTTCTCTCTCTAGACAATTTTATCCCCTTCTTCCTGCCATTGATGGCAGCCTAATGACTGTAATAGAGAAGAGCTATAATTTATTGCTCATCTTGAGTTCTATGCATCCTATTTCTTTGCCCTGGTTCTTGGGAACACAGGTGTGCTCTTGTCTTTGTGAGCCTGGGTTCTCCAAGTGAATCCCCCCACCCTTCCCGCCCCCGGCATAAAGGAGCCTACTTCTAGCTCCTTCTCACTCCAAATCAGTGAGAATTAACACTTGATTTGTCTTGTATAATTGAGTAGACAAATAGCAAAAAGATGTTTCCAATTCTTAAGATGTCAAAACGATATCAAAAAATTAGGCATAAATTGCTTCAATCTCCCCATACCACCTTGAAAGTCAATGTTAAGCTCTAACTGACTACAAAACAATAGCATTCTTTCCTTGGCAGAACCACCAGGGCAGGACAGGCTCTCCCATGCTCCTGTAACTTCACACTTGGATGGTGGCAATTGCTGGCTAGCTGGTCTTGCTTCAAAACATTCTGCATATATCTGTCAGGATAACCTTTCTCAACACCCATAATCTCCCACCACCACTGGGTAAAAGAGTAGCATTCAGCTGGATGGTTTTTTATTCCAAAAAAAACTTTATTATCCTCTGTATAGTGGTCACCTACACAAATGATGACTACTGTGGTGTGCCAAATGCCAATGTCTCGGCTTGGCACAGAATCACGAGCCACCACACACCTTTGTAGGTTTAAACAGCAATTCTTTATTCCCGATCTCACACCGCCTCCACACAGGTCCAGGGGCAATCGCGTTCTGCCGTCTCCCGCACAATTCACCTACTCCACGAGGCTATCTCCAAATCCCATTTTAATCTCACGAGAACTCAACGGGAACAAGCAGCAGGAATACCCTAATCCCAGCAATAATCTTCAACCTCCAACTTCCCTAAAACCCATTATCTTAAACTGGCAACGCCTTAAACTCAAGGAGCCGGTTACTTCCTCAAACCTGATCAGCTCTAAACCCGGATCCGCCTTGGTCCTTGAGCAGGGTCACCTTATTAAAGCATGCATGCAATGTCCCATCGAATGTCCTCTAAGCAGCATGGGGTACGCTTGGCAAGGAAATTTCGATGCGTCATTCCTACTTGGTAATGGCCCTCAGCAGTGGTGATGGTGATCCAAAGGTGGAAACTCTTCACAAAGAAAAAAAAAGGGATGTTTTAGTCAGCTTTTTTGCTGCCATGACTAAAAGATCTGACCAGAACAAATTGTAGAGGAGGAAAAGTTTATTTGAGGACTCATGGTTTCAGAGGTCTTAGTCCATAGAAGGCTGGTTCCATTCCTTGGGGCTCAAGGTGAGACTGAACATCATGGCAGAAGAGAGCAGCGGAGGGAAATAGCTCACTCACGTCATGGTGATCAGAAGGCAGAGACAGACTCCACTAGCCAGATACAAATACATACCCAAATCCATGCCCCCAATTCCCACCTCCTCTAGCCTCACCCTACCACTTCAGTTACCACTCAGTTAATTCCTATTAGGGGATTAAATCACTGATTTTGTTAAGACTCTTACAACCCACTCATTTCTCCTCTGAACCTTCTTGCATTGTCTCTCATGTGAGTTTTTGGGGGACACCTCACATGCAAACCATAACACATGGGTTATTTTCTATCTTTTCTTTATTTTTCTTAAGGAAATCATCCATCCTTCATGCTATGTGTTCCAGTTGAGCTGCTGGGAAGGGAACATGATAACTCCAGAGCATTAGGCTCTTGAGAAAGGTTAAATGTCCACTGCAGCACATCACCTGGATGGCCAAGCCATGGAATCCATAAGTTCTTGCTGCTGAGATCCTGGGAGATACCTTGTTCCTGTACATCTTAAGGTCTGAGGTTCTTCAGCTTTACCCTCAATTCTGGGAGTTTGTATTCATTTCCTACAGCTGGCAGCTGGAGCAAATGACCATAAACCTGGGAGGCTGGAGCCTTCATTCATCACAGTTCTAGAAGCTAGAAGTCCCACATCAGTTGTCAGTAGGGCTATCAGTTCTCAGAAAAGGTCCTTCCTGCCCCTTCCAGTGGCTCCAGGCATTCTTTGGCTTGTGGTCACGTCATTCCAGTCTGCCTCATCACCCCATGGCCTTCTTCTCTGTATGCATCCAATTCTCCCTCTCCTCTCTATAAAAACACCAGTCATAGGATTTAGGGCCCACCCTAATTCAGTAGGATTTCACCTTAACTAATTTCACCTGCAAAGACTATACTTCCAAATAAGATCTATTATGGTTTAAATATGAAGTGTCCCCAAACCTTGTGTGTGAGACAATTCCAAAAAGTTCAGAAGATGATTAGATTATGATATTTGTAACCTAATCAGTGGATTGATCCACTGATGAATTAACTGTGTGGTAACTGTAGGCAGGTAGGGTATGGCTAGAGGGGGCAGGTCAGTGAGGGTATACCTTTGGGGTTTATATTTTGTCCCTGGCAGAACTCCTTCTCCCTCTCCTTCTCCTTCTCCCCCTAAACCTCCGAGACCATGACCAGAATAAACTTTTCCTCCCTTAAGTTGTTCTTGTCAGGTATTTTGGTCACAGTGACAAAAAGTTGACTAAAACAGTCATTTTCTGAGATACAGATAGATACGATTTTTGGAGGACACTGTTAGACATTCTTGCTGAGACTAACAGATAGTCTTTGGAAGTAACTCTCTTTTATACCCCTATGATACCTGGCTCTCCTAGTGCATCATCAATTTGCCTACATGTGTATCTCCCACTTCTTAGATAAGAAACCCAGTGACTGATGGCAGGGACTATATTCTACTCACCACAGGATCAACCTCAAACTGAACTTACATATGTTTGATTAAGTAAGGACAATGAACGTGCCCCTTTACAACAGACAGTGTTGATGTAACTTAAATACCCATGAGCCAGGAGATCTAAGGAAGATAAAAAGAAGTGATTACTCTGAAAAATGAACCAGACTTCATTGTTATTGAATTTAAATTTGCTGAAGATACCATTTTTTTTAC